AACATTCATCCCCTCATTGTATCCCTTTTATAGACACGGGACATCGTTGTTACTGGTAGGGCAAACACTTTCTTCTAAAGGTATCTGCCGATTTCACGGTACATACATGTGTTCAGATTATCAGGAAAACTAGCGACGCAAGTTCTCCTCCATCACACCAGAGACCAAATAATCTTTCATATGGCCTTTGATCACACATACAATTGTATAAATACCCAGTGTTTATTGATAGCGATGAAGCAATTGACCAAAATGTACGGCCGACAGTATCATCTGCATTACTCTCTTAGATAAGGTGAAATATCACAGGGTTGTCATGGTAACGATAATATGGCATACTATTTATTGTCTTATTCTTTAATCTGCGATTATAATTTAAATCAGTTTTGTCGTGAGCATGTTAAGAAAATAGAAACTGTAACACGAAATGTATTGTGATCGAACATATAGGCCATTTAGAAGCAAGTTTGAAGATCCCTACATAAAAACCTGTTTTCGTGATAAATATCTGCTAATCCGTGGCACGATTCCAACCATATCATGGGCATATGTTTGTGAATCATAATCAAACAGTGATGTTACAAGGCGTCCATGCCGCGTCAACAGCACACATGCAAACAGGGGCGTAGTTACCATTATAAAATAAACCCCAGCTCGAGCTTACATATGATCTTTGCTAAAAAATATTTTTTCTTCTAATTTTTGCCAAAAATACCTACATATACGTTCCATTAAAAAAATGGAAATACCTATACGGATCGTACTGACTAAAGTATTCTTTGATTAAAGCATTACCATGTACAGCAAACAGGTTATTCTTCATATAACAACGTTCAGTGATGATTGTTTTTCTATCGACATGTATGAGGATGTTTTGTTACAGTCATGATTATATGTGAATCATCACTGAAATGCAGTTGTTTCTTTTTCATTTGTTTAACATTTATTTTAGAAAAACAATTACCAAATACTCGATGTATGGTATTGTATCAGTGCAGCAGACATGTGTATAAACGATGTCCAAACATATTTGTATAGGAGGAAATCACATTTCAATTTCCAAGGTGGTAAGACATCCGTCCGTATTCCTCCCCACACACACATACACCTCTAAATTTTAATGATGAGGAAACATTTCTTTGAGTGGCACTTTTAGAAGTGATAATGTCTAACAAAACACGTTAAAACTCGTCCTTATCAGATGGGGAATATATATTTAGGTGATATGATTTGACTAAAATGAAATTTAAGAGGGGAACCAGGCGGAAGTTTTTCCACAATATTTTGAAGCTATTAAAATCATCAAATGTCAAACGATAACCCTTCAGGTCTCATAAAACATGAGCGTTGGGCATGCCCTCAATACCACCTAAATATATGGCTTTGCAGCCCATAGGGCTTACACGAAAAACAATGGCTTGCTACGCGCATGGCAAACGCACGAGAATTGCAATACGGGCCTCAAAACACTGATTCTCCGTGACCTGGAGACACATGTCACTGAGCGTATGTTGGGGAGTCGTCCGGCATACAGACCCTGAAGCAACTATATCCAAGCCCACGCAAGTCTACAAAATGTGGCAAGTCTAGATTTCCACAGCTTCAGGAGAAAGTCTCATGGCTCCTTTTCATTATATTATATATTTTTTTTTATTATGAACTTTTATTCTGTAAAATATGTTCAGATCAACGGCTAGTTGTTAATCTCAGTTCTGACGGGTTGAAGACAAAAGACAAAATGGTTACTTGTGCTGTTACATATTTTAAATTATATATAAACATTCGTCCTTGTCTCGGGTTAAATGAATATTTTCCACCAAATGTACATTCGGAGGATATCGAAATCTAGGTTAAGCTATTTGAATCATATTTACAATTAAAAGACCCAGTGCTGTTACATATTTTAAATTATATATAAACATTCGTCCTTGTCTCGGGTTAAATGATTATTTTCCACCAAATGTACATTCGAAGGATATCGAAATATAGGTTAAGCTATTTCAATCATAGTTACAATTAAAAGACCCAAACAATGGTTTGTTGTCCACATTTTTGGTTTTCCATATCTTTTCCCAGTCTGTATCATAGTCACTTAAATATATTTTCCCCCTTCCGTCTCTAGAAAAAACTCACTGCAGGGTTCGGGTTATGGAGTACCATACCAAACACCCACAGCTGGCGGGACCAACATCTCCAGTAACATTTACATCTGCTAACGCTTAATTCGAAAATGGTGAGGCAATAAGCTAATGAGGCTAAGGGTCCTGTACCATGTTTGTGAAATATCGATGATGCCTTATATGAAGTCTATCATCTAAGCAAGTCTAGCTATATATGGCGTTTAGTCACTGTTTGAAGAAAGGCTCCTTTAGAATTTCATTTGGTAAATATTAGTATTTCCATCATATTGGAAAATACATAGACTAACGCTTAGTGTCTGAATATATATTATTTTGAGACACGGGGAGACACGAGATTAAGTCCGGCTAGCCATGGCAGTTAGATATGATTACTTTGTAACCCGACCCCCAAAGTGAGTTAGGTTTCTTGCAGATGTTAACAGACCCTGGACCTGAGGAGATCTAGACTTGCTTCAATTAAGGCTTTAGCATTGCAGAGAGGGCTTGGCAGTAGGGGAAATAATGAGGTTTAGGGACTGTGACACAGAATAGAAAATGCACGGCAACCTACACTTCATTGTGACTATGATTAAGGCATCATTTTAAAACACATGGGTTATTTCCTTTGCGTTAACTGACAGGCTTTCGGCGTCAAATTATTTGGAACTGCGGCCAAAGGTGATGTTATGCTGTCTAGAAATATGGCCTTTTTGTAATGCTTTGGTTGCACATAATGATAAGTGATTGTTGTACATATGATGTTTTTGAAGGATAATCTCAGCTGACTAATACTTTGCACGTGTTTCCCCCCACTCTTTCCATACCCGTAAAAGTTAATTTTCCATATATATGTCTGTAAGAAAATACTGTAAATTAATGGGATGGCTGAATTTGGCCACCTGAGGTAGTGACCACAGCACTCTTGCCATACTGCATTGAGAGAGGTTAGAGCTTGACAAGATACCAATAAATATGCTTGTCATTTAAACCTTTATTTGATGTTTGTGAAATGTGATTTTATAATTGAAGATGCTTCCTGCACCTGTACCCCTATATAGATGTTGTTAGTCTGTAAATCTTCCAAATTACTTCGTCTCTTTTTCAGTTGAAATTAAGATTTTTGCCTTTTATCAAAATAATATATTTTCAGTCTTAATGTGCCTATGTCAGGAATCAAACACCGGTTTTTGACCTGACAGGCGAACATTTTAATCACGAGCGTACCCCCATCATTCCTTGATACTGTTAAAGAATATACATTGGTACATTTATTACGCATTCAAGATTGAACCCAGTTTTGTTACTATATATCCTTCAAGTTTTATGTTAGTGACGTGATCTGCACTCTGATAATTTGAAAAGAGGAATATAAATAAATAGAGGAATATAAATTTACTTTTCCATTTATTTAGTAATTTTCAGTTTCTACTTCCTGTAAATTCTGTACGCAGGTACTTTTAACACTTTCACCCAATGACAGTAAAGCATACAGATAATACGTTTCGGTACTTTGATAGATTTCATAATAAGTACACATTATATTCCTTGATATTAAGATACCAAAATGTATAACAAATTAGACATAAAAAAACAAAAGCTAAAAAGAAAACGCATGAGCAACATAATGCTGTCAGGTAGTAAGCTTTCAATAATTATCGAAACTGCTTAGTTATGAGCTAATTGCAATCACTACAATTTCCTATAGTCTACCCAAGAGATGGAACAAAATAGGTCTATTATGAAAATTATGAGCTAATTGCAATCACTACAATTTTCTATAGTCTACCCAAGAGGTGGAAACAAAATATGTCTACAATATATTCCGTCGGGTAACTGAAATTTGAGAAAACATCCGTATGGGATAATACCTGTATTCCGAATCAAAAAGAGGTCATACCAAGTATGTGCATGTTCACACACTTACAACAGTAATTTACACCGGGAATCATTAATACATTTTAATCATCTTTCATGAATGTGGAGGTAATGAAATTTGTTCAGTTATGATCAGTCGGATAACTCATACAAGTGAGCACTAAAATTAGGGACCTACCGGTTCATGTCTGTGTGAACACATTTGTCTGTGTTTTATTGTAATTAGCAGTGTCTCCTTGTATAGCATACATAAGAAGTGTACCTAAGGTTAGTTACTTAAACTGTTATGTAATTTCCATTTCAAAAAGTATAAACCATATTAACTACTGGTCAGAAAGATTTATCAGTACCCCAACACCACCAACCCGCCCTAGGCCTACCACATGCCACAACCTCTCCCTCGCACACATACACATTCCCTAAGATACATATCGCTCTGGCCCATAAACCCGATATTTGAACTTTTTAAACAGACACCATGTTTGTGTCAATAAAGACACGCATGTTGTTAGTGGTGCTCAGTCATGGGTATCACTTCACCATGTGTTTCTAATTATCTCAGTACATTATGGCGTGGTCGGACGCGCTAGCAAACCCTATGTGACGGTTACATCACAGAACCATTGAAATACATGTTAAAGCAGTTCTAATCTTGTCACACTATATTTCCAACCATTTACTCATGTACTAAATATATGACAAACCTTACCCTGGTTATGCGAGATTTCAAAGGTATGGAAATGCATGTCCTACAATCACAGCATTTACATATGTTACACATGTTAGGAAACCCATGAAAACAATGGCCACATTTACACAGTTATGAAATACATGTAAATGCAGAGTCAAATGTTCGTTCATTTTAACCCCCCTTTAAACGTGTGTAAATCTTGCGGCCAGATGATACGTAGATTTCAAACGTTGTTCATGTGGCGGCCGGATGAAACGAGTATTTCCTGACGTTAGTAAATTTGGGTAATACAGTCATTTTGTGTGGTGAACTTGCTATCTCTTGTATGGTGTCAGCCTACAGGAATGTTCCCAGATACTTTATCAGGTCAGAGCAGGAAACCGTGCATTCAAAATCGGACTCTGTACATAGCAGGCGGGAAGTTCCATCACACTGCTGGATGTAGAAGACGGTACATTTTACTCTTGTGACAAGACGACAGTTTTCTAAAAGGAGGTATGTATATTCACATTATTGTTCTTCCATCAAAGTCTATATCTTGTCTTGTGAACGTTCATCCTGTGTTTGTAACTGTATGTATCCCTATGATGTTTTCTCAACGTATGTGTGATAGATATTACTTGTGGCTTAAAATCTTTGTGACGTAGTGTTAGAATGAGTGTTTACTACATGAGCATCAATGTTCACGAGATCAAAATCAATAGTACAAGCACAATGAGATAGCCTGTTTATATATGTTTGCAGAGTGGTAAATTAATAAATGCACATTCATATCCAAACTATGTCACAGTGTATCTGTATTTGCAAATACCGCAATGCATTGTGCATGATGACATCCAAAAATTACAAAGAAACGTCGACTATTAACTTAATTATAATATTACCACTAATTAAATGACCAAAGTGTTGACATCTGTTCAAATAAAGGAATTTTCCCTTTTTTTTCTGTCCCCCGTCTCCAATCTGCCGACACAGATTTGGTCACGTAGATACTCCTGCTTATCAAGAAAATCAGGGGAAAATATTACATTCGAATCGGTGACTCCAGCTCTTAATGTTATAGCATAAACAATACGTCACTTCCTGGACAACCATGATTCCTCACAACAAATGTCAGCCCCCTCATAAGTAAATGTACTATGCGACTTTTAAACAAGAGATGAAGATGTGTCATGAAGAAATACTTTTAAATAAAAGTTCATCCTGCCATTAAAGGGCAGCTTATCATTTATAAATTGGGCCAAATGTAAGAAATACACAATATTCAGTTCCGTCAAACAACTTCCTTATGTAAATGATGCCCGCATTTTGGGAAAGTATCATGCAATATAATCAGATGAAATCACTTGCACAATTTGACAAATTGTTTTCACTTGGTTGGTAATAAATTCCAATTGCATATGATTAATGGTCTGCTGGGGTTGATTGATCTGTACTTATTTTGTAAGTTTTCGATAAATACTGGTGGGAATTTGTACTCTTCAAAATAGTTTCACGGCACAGAAACATGTAGCAGTAATTTTAGCATCATCAAGAGTGATGTGACAGTAAATATTTATAGAATGTCTTTGTGTTTATTTCAGATGCCAACACAGACGCAAGAAAAGCCCAGTGACAAAGATGACTGATTATGTTCCTTATGTATTGATGAAATGAAGTATTCTTTAAAACATATCATTGCTTGGTTCTCATTTTCACTAATAACAACGGATGACATGATTAACAAATTTACTTACGTGTATGTGTTTATTGGATTCAACTCAAACGTATCTGAAACGTTTTAGAAACCCCATGGAAAAAACGTTTTCAAAACGTTTGTAGAAGGTTTCGAATGTTTCTCGCCAACCTTTCGTCAAAACGTTTTTAAACGTTTAAATAACTCCACAAAATAAGGTTTTAAAACGTTTTTTTTGAACGTTTTCAAAACCATACGGAGAAAATGTTTCTGTGTTAGCTGGGGATATATACTTCAATTTTTTTTCACATCAATTTTACATTGACGGTATTCTCTATGTAGGCGGCCCTTCTCAGTTCTGTAGTAGAGTGGATGTTGCGGGACCATTTTTAGCGCTTCATGTAATCGGCAGCATCACAAACTGCATCTGTACACTGCTTACCATCATTGTCAATATCATCTGGGAGCAGTGTACATCGATTAAATATGTCAACAACATCCGATGATAGTAAATTGTCTCTAAATTTGAACAGCTTGTCAATGTCCCCACAGGGTGCGTGTCACGCTTAGAAACAGCGGTAGAAAGACATATAGGTATATAGACCCTACCCTAGTACTATATAAAAGGAAAGGGATGTAAGGACGGAACCAGCCCCTCCTCAATCTCAGGTAGATTTCACCACGTAAACTACTTTTGAGGCCCCGTCGAGGCCTACGGGTCGAAAGCGAGATGATTTCCGTACAAAATGAGCTACCAATGGTCACAATCGGATTATTATTTCAAAAGTTATACGCCACGACTCCCCGAAAACAGCTATCTCCGCCATTCCAAAATCATGGATCTCCCAAGACAGCAAAAACTCACCTTTTAAATTCGTTTATTAATTCCAGCAACGTTGACAGCACCTGTGTAGTGCTAGATTCGATAGGCAGCGCCATTCCACGGGTCTAAAAACTTATTGCAGCATCTACAAATCATTTCCTCGATAGTAAGCAGACATGTTCTCCAAAACCATCGGCAATAATACTCACTTGTCCATTTAGAATGAACATATCTATTGCCGCACACCTTTTCACCAGAGCACGCCCCAAACTGTTTACAACATGATCACGTGACACTCTTAGAGTGCTGACAATTCTTTTTCTCCTCTGATATCTGCTACGTCATCGTCGATGTGATCCGGGAGTGTTGATGTCCAGGCGTTAAAATCCCTCCAATGAGAATATCGATATCTTTAGCAATTATTTCAATAGTATCAATAAGTGCATTAAAGCATAATATGACACCACACTTGGAATGTGTTTTGTCGTTCAAAGTTGAACCAGATGGGTTGACACATACATATGCGATGAAAATGTCCTTGTCAACGTTAAATATACATTTATCAAAGAGAAGGAAGATAGCATTGTCCTTCACAAGGTTGAGGATGGTTTTATGCACAAGGAGGGTCAGTCCACTGGATGGCCTGCCTCTGTCGTAAGGTTTGAGAGCATTGATACTGTATGGTAAGGAGTTAGGAAATATATCGTTATATGAGAAGTCAATTGTTTCGGTAAGTCCTACAATGTCAAATCCAGTTTTGAAATGTATTAAGTTAATTTAAGTCAGTTTCAGTGACTTTATTCACAAAACTCGATATGTTCCAAACTAATATTTTGTGTTCGGTATTGTATCACTGTGAGTTTGAGCATGGCCACAGCCCTATTTCTCTGTCTCAGCTACATCGGGTATGGGTGTTTCGGGGACTGACGCAAAAGGGTCCCACACCTCCTCCTTATCACTGCTGTTAGCAGCGGTGTGTTTCACAACCAAAACACCCTTCTTTGAATACCAACGTCTATTCTGTGCACGACGATCTTTTAAGATTTGTCTAAATTGCCACAAGATTACATATCCACTATTTTCGAGCTCACACCTTAAACTAATTTTCCAATCCAAGCTTAATAATGTAACGGCCATGGGTCTTGGCCTTCTCGACCCTGCTTACCATAATCCTGCGGATCGATTCTATCAATAGAAGCGACAGAACTCTTACCACATTCATAAGAAATCTCTGCCAAAAGCAGAGTTGATTGTACATTTGTGACTATATCATGAGCAGATATTCGTTTCAGCAGCATTACAGCTGTATGGTGTTGTTTGTAAACAAATCGGGTCTGAACCAGACAATCCGGTGATTGTCACCATGCGGTACGATGACAGAGGATGTGTTTTAGAAAGACATGCAGCCTTGTGGAGAGTTTCTTGCCACGCTGAATCTATATGCATAGATCTAAGTATGAAACAGTTGAGGCGGTCTCACTTGTCTCCTTAATATCAAATTCAGTTTGGTAAATCAGTGGAAGGCAATTGGCGATTTGATAGTTTTTGAGCGATATCAAATCATCGATGTATCAGAAGCTTAAGTTAAACTTCTTGGTCAATTACTTTGTTTTGATTTTGCCAACCCAAGCAGAAATTCTAATGCATAAAGAAATAGATCTGCAAGAACGCGAGCCCACCTGGTGCCCATGGGGATGCCTACTTCTTGGCGATTTTGTATATACTAGTTAGAAGCTTGCATTAGGTATGCACGTTAGCAAGAGGAATGTCGCCGATGAGCCATGAAACTATTAGGACTCTATCAGCTGCTAGGGCACAAAAATCAAAACAGAATGAAAACACAAATTAGTTTATAACTAACGGCTTTAGGGATGGCAAGGGGTTTTGAAAATACATTTATATGAACTTGCCATTTATTTCTATGTAAATATGAGAACTCATATTTTTAACTATATATTCCTCATATTGCAGGGAGACGTACCTTACCTCTCTCTATCCGTGGTAACGAATACCTTAAGAATACCTAGAATGCTTATCTTTGTCAGAGGTGTGGTTGATATGTGCCTGGATTAATGCTGTGTTTGAAATCAAGACTTACTGTTACTTCAGTATATCATACACGATATCTTAATACAACCACTTAAGATGGTCATGTTATGCATTGTTTAGAATGGAAAGTAATTATGGGAATACGTAACATACCTGTCGGTTTGTAATATGGGTTAAGATGCGGGTAACAATTGATATTCAGTAATCCAAGCTTGCCGTAAGAGGCGACTAACGTGGATGGGGTGGTCATGCTCGCTGATTTGGCTGACACATGTCATCGTATCCCATTTGCGTAGATCGATGTTCATGCTGTTGATCATTGGATTGTCTGGACCAGACTCGATTACGTACGGACCGAGGTCATACAGATGCAATATTGATGAGTGCGTCGTAAAACTAAACTCACCCACTCACTAAAATCATTGCCTTTCACAACATACGTGTTGCAAATGTCCCTTACACCTTAAAAGGGTAGGTCACCAGTGAACAAGGTCGCGGTAAAAAGCTTCGTTTGTTGCATTGGGAATTCATTCGTAAGTGTAAATAGTTTACATGTACTGATAAGATTGAGAACACATCAAACCATTTGTGATTAAAATTGAACAATACACATAGCCATTAAATACCTATGTCTGATACGCGTCTTAGCAAGCTTGTATGTCGTTATGCACATCACACTATTGACCCCAATCATGTCCCCGTAATTCCGATTACTTACTGTTACACTGAAGGTTGGGGCTTTTAAATTCTACCGTACAACGCACTGACTGAATATGTTTAATCCTTTAATTTCTTCACAGTTATCTTGAAGGAGTAACTTGACTTATTGTGGCTAGATTATTCCAAACGAGCTACCACTATGAGCTATCGCTTGTAAGAGGTTTTGTGGAGAGTGTCAACACTCCTCAGTGTTTGTTGATATGTTTGATACGGGTGTGTGATTTTGTATGTATCTTTCAACTGTTTACGAAGACATATGAAGAAGAAAATAGAACAGTTAAGAGAGTTATGCATGCGATCATTTTGTTGACTAACATATATTGATAAAAACATAACATTGTTGATAGAGATACGTTAAAATGAACACACCGTTCTGGCTGCTAATATAATCCCCCAGAAGTCCCACTGACTTTATATCCATTCGTTGTTTTCTTTGGAAATACAATATGGTAACTGTATTCACATTTTGTACATAAACTGTACATGTGAATGCAAAATCAATGTTTACATATTGCAGCTTACCATCGGGGTTATAATTGGTCTTCAGCAAGCCATATACTTGTAAGAGGCGTTTTACGGGATCGGTGGATAACATATCTCAACTTCGATGATCGGTGATCATGTTTTGCATCACTAACTTGATTATTAACTTACCGGCGCCAAATACATGTAGCTCGAATATTGCTCAGTGAGGTGTATAGCAACAAGCAAACAAAACCTTTCAGTGAAAAGCGTTCCTTGAACAGTAAGTCCCGTTTGTGTCTGGTAAAATATCTCTGTCACCGCTGCAAATGTCTGTAGATGTATATTAACAACTCCCACGGTTCCAACACAGCAAACTTTATTCTGTGTTTTATCTGTGTATACTGTTTTCTGCTACTTCTGCTGTTGCCGGTTGAAAAACCGTATTGCAACACTGAACTCCACACTGAAAACTGTACAACATTGCATGCTTCTGTTTCCAGGTTATCTCCCCTTTTTACAGTCATGTGACTTACCCTAGATCACATGATCTCAATCTAAATATAGCTAGAGCATTTGACCGCAACATTCCGGCCCCTTAATTGTTACAAGTAACAATTACAATACTAATATACTCTGCGTCAAAGGATCGGAAATATATTCAGTTTCACATGAACTAATACATTTAAACTAAACATAAGTTCATAACTGCATCAAATAGCTCTGAGAATGTAAATCACTCACATACACACACTCATACACCCGTTATGGTTGCATAATAAACCTAAAACATCCACTGGTTAAGTAAATTGTCAAATGTACACTTCTCTACACTAGCTCAGCAGTAAATCTGAAAACTGATATTGTCAACATTCACCTTCAAGCAGTAAACACAACTTTGAAATTGGTCTGTTCAAAACACCTGACTTTGTTTTGACTTCAACACTGCGCACAAACCCTTTGTGATCAGGATAAACTTTCTCAATTTTTGCCATAAGCCATGAATTTCTAGGTGCTGCTTCATCGACGATGAGAACTACATCTCCAACATGAATATTGCGGCGGAGCTTTGACCACTGTTGTCGTACCTGTAACGACGTAAAATACTCTCGAGACCACCTCTTCCAAATAGGATCTGCTAAGTATTGGATTTGTCTCCATCGACGACGTGGGTATGCATCGCTCTCAAAACAAATATACCAGGAGGTAGGTTCGGCTTACCTTTTAACAATAGCAAGTGATTTGGTGTCAACGCATTTAGAACACTTGGATCCACCGAAACTCTTGAAATCGGCCGACTGTTAACTATGGCTTCTACTTCACACAGAAATATGTGTAATTCCTCATCACCTACAGGCTGATCCTTGAGAACTGAAAAAAGTATCTTCCGGACACTACGTATCTGTCGTTCCCAGATTCCGCCATGATGTGATCCAGTAGGGGGATTGAATATCCACTCAACATTCTTCTGTATCATACTTCTCTTAATGGTAGATTGATTCCAATGCTTGATTGCCTCCCGAAGTTCCCTCTCTGTGCCTTTCTGATTGGTACCATTATCTGACCGGATTTGCTGAATCCGACCTCTCCTTGCTACAAATCTTCTCAAGGCGTTGAAACAATGAACTGGTATCAAGCGAGTGTGCAACCTCGATATGAACTGCACGTGTAGTCAAACATGTGAAAATTACTCCATACCTTTTGACCAAGGCACGACCACGCTTAACTTCAAAGGGACCAAAATAATCCGCTCCTACAAATGTAAATGGAGGATCATTTGGGGTAACACGATCTCTGGGAAGATCAGCCATCTTCTGTTCCAGAACACCAGCATGATGTCTTCTACATGTAACACATCTGTGAATCACTCTCTTGATTAAAGAGGTAGCTCCAAGAATCCAGTACTTGCTGAATAACTTGTACAATACATGATTTCTGCCAACATGTCCTGAAGATTCATGAATATTCCTAACTATCATCTCTAAAATATTGCTGTCCTTAGGCAGTATCACTGGATGTTTGGTATGTTCAGACATACATGCTCTGTCAAGCCGCCCACCAACCTTCAACAGGTTATCTTCTACAATGGGATCAAGCTTGTATAGCTTACTTGACTTACAATGTCCAGCCTAAGAGTTCTCAATGATGTGAATTTCATGTGCAAATGCAAGGCTCTGTACAAACTGAACAATTGAAGTCTCTGCATCAACCATGTCCTGCAATGTTAATTCAATGTCTGAACCCTTCTGTGGCAGATCTGTATTGTTCCCCTTGACTTTGTCCCTCAAGAATCAAGGACCACTTTTCCATCGGTCACTCTTCATGAAATCTTTCACTGAGAGTCCCCGTGAAGCATCATCAGCTGGGTTAAGCTTCGAGTCAACATAGTGCCACTGCTGTGGGGATGAGCCATCATGGATAACTGAAAGTCTGTTTGCTACAAAAGCGTGAAATCTTGAGTTGACGTTTTCAATGTATCTTATTACAGACATACTGTCTGTCCAATAAAAACTGTCATCAATAGCAATCTCCAGTTCTCTTTTGAGCAGATTATCAACTCGAATTGCCACTGTAGTTGCAGTTAACTCCATCCGTGGAATGGTTATTTGCTTGAGAGGGGCTACTCTGGACTTGCTCAATACAAATGAACAATGAATGTCTCCTGTTTCACTGATAGTCGCAAATAGATCACTACTCCATACCCAGTTTCACTCGCATCACAGAAATAGTGAAGCTGTGAAATAACAACCCTTCCAAACCAATTTGGCTTCATGCATCTGTCAAATGAAGTGTACTCCAGTTGTGGCAATTCTGCAAGCCATTTCTTCCAGCACGAGAGATACTTACGTGGAATTTCATCATCCCAACAACATTTTAACCTGCATAAGTCCGACAATAATTGTTTAGCTGGTAAGATAACTGGAGCTACAAAGCCCATTGGGTCATAGACTGAACTTGTAATGGAAAGAATGCCCCTTCTGGTTGCTGGTTTGTCTTTTATCAAGATCTTAAACACAAACTGATCCGATTCAATGCACCACCCGAGTCCTAATGCTCTTTCCATTGGCAACTTGTCTTGTTCCAAGTCTAAATCCTTGATTTTTACTGCTCTTTCCTGTTCAGGTACTGTCTCTAGAACCAACCGACTGTTACTCACCCATTTGGTGAGATGAAAACATCCTCTTGAACAAGCATCACTTGTCTGCAACAAAGTTACTGGCATCTATGTCTGTTTTCACAGACTTCAGGCAATCATCAACATAAAAGTTTCTTCTGATGCTATCAGTTAATCCTTTATCAAAATATGCTAAGTTATCTTTCCCTGTCAATCTGAGCGCATAGTTAGCACAACTTGGACTTGACACAGCACCAAAGATATGTACTGTGTCATCTCATATTCCTCTAAATCTCTTGTGGTGTCACCATCTGCCCACCACAAAAAGCGCAAGACACTGCGATCACTTGGCGGCACCTTCACCTGGTAAAACATTGCCTCAATATCAGACATTAACGCAACTTGTTCTTGACGAAACCTCAATAGGACCCCTAGCAAAGAACTAGTCATATCAGGCCCATTTAGCAACTGGTCATTTAATGAAGTTCCCTGTTAGCGTGCAGAACAATCATAAACCACACGAATTTTGACTGTTTTTTGAGGATGATAAATACCGTGATGTGGTACATACCATGTCTTCTCTGTATGATGACTGTCATCTGTCAGTACTTTCTGTGCATAGCCTTTCTTCAACAAATCATTCCTGAATACTGTATAGTCCTTGTGAAATGATTAACTTCGCAGAAACGTCTTCTTTAACTGCTCTGCCCTGTATTCTGCATGTGTTCTGTTGCTGGGTAAGGTTTCAGACGATGACTTAAATGGCAAAGGGATTTCATAATGTCCATCAACAAGCTCAGCGGAGTTCATAATGTCCATAAAGAGTTTGTCATTCTTAGACATCTCAGGCTTGTCATCTACAAGTCTTTCACTGAAATCATGGTTGTACTGGCTGACTAACTGTTTCACTCAATTTTCCATCACACCAATTCTGTTCACTGATACTCTTGTCAGACACCCATCAATGTTCCACATTCACCACTGACTATCCAACCCAACAGAGTCCGTACTGAATACGGTCCACCTTGCTGAGTGTTTATGACCTGCCATGGTTCTAGAGCAATGGGAACATTACTTCCTATCAACAACTGTACTTCCGCATCAATCTGTGGCAATGTAACTTCCTCTAAGTAAGACCACTTACTCAAAGCTTTCCAATCGAATGCATCATTTCTTGTGACAGGAATCTCTTTCTTAGTATATAGTTTAGGTAACTTCACACTATTGTCACCCTTCAAATCTGTCACTACCAACCCTGTCACTGTGTAGAACTGAACTGACTTTTTCTGACTCATGGTTTGCAACATAATCTGAGTTTTCCTACCCTCTATACCTAAATCTCTCATCAGGCTTTCTGTACAAAATGAAGCAGAGCTTCCATAATCAAGGAATGCATAGGTTTCATAACACCTATCACTATTCTCCAAAATCACCCTGACAGGCACAATAGGCAAAGAGCCACTTGTTCTACTACCACAACCATATGTCACACCTTCACACATGCTCACACAAGTATTACAAGCAACCTTCACATCTGTGTTAGTGTCTTTAGCATTAACCTTGAATGCAATACTGTCTTTGTCATAAAACTGTGAATGCAAAACAGTTGCATGCATGCGTTCACACACATTGCATTTCAGTCTGTTAGTACAATGTTTACTCAAATGCCCTGGGGATAAACATCCAAAGCACAAAGATTTTGATTTGAGAAAGTCAAGCTTTTCAGGATATGGCTTATTCCGCAGTTTCTTACACAAGCTCAAAACATGCTGTTCCCCACAAAAGGAACACTCTGCTGTATTTATCCACTGTGTGCTAGGCGCTTGGATGTCTCTACGTTTCATCTTGTCAACAATTGTTCTGTCTGGTATTTCGATGTTAGTTGCAAAGTTACTGCCTCTGGTTACTTTCATCTTGTCTCGTTGTGTCTCCCATCCTCAATGTTACCGTACAATGGATCGGCTAATATCTGTGCCTGTTCTTCATCAAAGGTAACTAAATCTTCGAAAGTTATTTTTTTGTCCTTTTTCTCCTGAATAGTGAACACAAGACTACGCCATCTGTCCCGCATCTTGTAAGGCAATTTGGAAATGATAATTTTCATGTTTTTGGGCTCTTCTAACTCCCTCAAATACTCAATGTCTGCCATACTGTTGTAACACTCAAGCAGGTACAATGAATATCTGTTCAGTTTATCACTGTCTTCAGCTTTTATATGCGGCCATTGTAGAGCTTTCTCTGTGTATGCTGTAGCTACTTTAAACTTATTTCCAAACTTGGTCTGAAGCGGCTGTTTAGCTCTCGTGTAGCCTTGCTCAGGCTCCATGTGAATACAGCTACGCACCAATTCCCCTGGCATTCCACTTGTATATTGTTCCAGATAATAAAGTCTATCTTTGAAACTGTCTGTCTTACTTTCTATGCAATGTTCAAATGCCATGATGAATGTCTTAAAATCCAAAGGATCTCCCCTGAACACAGGAACTTTACGCTCTGGTAATGTAGCTAATCGCTGATTCTCAATGACCATCTTCATGGTGGCATTTTCAGTATTCTGTGGAACATCATCAAACACTTGTGTCTGAGGCACATTTGGTACACAAGTCTGGCTAGTGGGACGTAGTACTGATGGAGGAATAGATTTACCACTCTTAAACATGTTCAACTGTTCTTTGCGATTTATTTTACTCGCACTGTCTGTAATCTCCAATTCCTCAAGGGCTTCTACCTGAGCATTAGCAACTACCAATTCTGTCTCTATCTCTAACTTTTCTTTCTTCTGTTTTAGATACTGTTCTTCCTCCTCCAAGGCATGTCTCTGCTGAAGACACTGTGAACGTGCCTTTAACTCTGCCAGCTTGGCTACCATCTTCCTTCTTGCACATGAAACAGTTCTCCTAACTCAATCTTTTGAACCCTGACCTGAAGATTTTTTGCTTTCAGACTTCTTTGGCTGAGCGCTACTTGCTACACTAGCCTTCTCAACCTTTTCAAGGCTCTGTGAATTGTCTTCTATCCACACTTCCATATCAGCCTTAAAACTACGAAACATACTGTCTTTTTTAGCAAACCATCACTGAACATCTGCATCAACAACTTCTGGTGTAAGCATATCACAATATGAATCATATGACTGAAGAAAAGCACTGTATTTATCCTTCCACCTATCATAACGTTCCTCGATATCTGACACTTCAACATTACTCTGAAGCAAATCTTCAATAATGCTCTTTTCTCTTGTTACATTCCAACAAAGTCTACACTTCTCTTCCTTCAATCTTTGTATTTTATACAAACGTCCTTTCTCTGACAAAGTTCTTGATCTGATTGACATATCGTCTTCCTTACATTCAATGTTCCTTTCTGGTAGAGCATATGCACCTTTAGACGACATATTGACACGAATTTTCAGTCAACAATACAGTTATTCACAAAATATGTCAATGTCCAATTCAAAATGTCTGCATAAAACTGTTCAAACTTGTGCGCGGCGAGACGGCTATAAACTGGAAACGTGCTTGCCACTTTGTAAACAAACCTCTTGCCGTCACTTCCGGTCAAAGGAACGAAATTCACGTGCGAAGTGTGAAGATACAGAGGATACTCAACAATTCACTAAAAAGTCACTTTAAGTCAATATTCTACAGCAATATCCTTTCTTCATTCAAAATAATCAACTGTCATTATAATATCCGAAGTTAGAATGCTGAATACCAAACTTAGCTGAACACCACGTGCACTCTCAAACTGCATGTGCAGTCCACGCTCGCTGTCAAGGTTTTTCAACTTTGTCACCGCTGCAAATGTCTGTAGATATATATTGACAACTCCCACGGTTCCAACACAGCAAACTTTATTCTGTGTTTTATCTGTGTATACTGTTTTCTGTTACTTCTGCTGTTGCCGGTTGAAAAACCGTATTGCAACACTGAACTCCACACTGAAAACTGTACAACATTGCATGCTTCTGTTTCCAAGTTATCTCCCCTTTTTACAGTCATGTGACTTACCCTAGATCACATGATCTCAATCTAAATATAGCTAAAGCATTTGATCGCAACAATCTCTCCAGAATTATATCGACAACTAATATGGTGAAAAACTGAGGATACTGTATATAATCACCTCATGTTCTACCATGACTTCAGTAAACGCTGGATTGTGATTGGTTAATTAAAGTCATTCAGAGGTACATAATCACGTTATACTGGTCTCTGATTTTCCGTGCGCAATCATACATGGTTTACGGGAATGCACTATTTTTGTCTGCCCACCAACATGGCAGACACCAAACAACCTACCGATAATTTATGGCGATTTTGCTGTCGGAAGTTACACATATGTCTTTAAAGATGGAATTAGCGATGACGGGCTCGACTCACTACTTGCTTAAATCACAGCAATAGGTGTTTATATACACCTGGAAATTAATTAAGCACCCCCTGATATATTTCATGATAGTAGAGCAACTTGTAACTGTCGATAAACATAAATGATGTCTCTGTATTGCAACACATATCTAGTAGTCTAAAAAGGTGTTTCAGTTCCTATGCACTCGTCACAACGCATCCCGTGTGCACGTGAAGCATACAACCCACACTTTTCCCAAAATTCAGTTTCTCTGACATGCAATTTATGGGTATAAAAGCAGACAAATTTGTAACTGTCTCCATTAATGAATACTGAAATGGCGATTGGACGACAACTGGGCTACAGTCACTCGGCCATCAGCCGACTTGTCCGAAAACATCAGATGACTGGAGATGTGAGAGATCGTCCAAGGCCTGGAAAACCAAGGAAGACAACGGCCTGTGATGATCGCAGCCTGGTAAGGCGAGAACCCTTTGCCACAAGTTCGGTTTTGAAGCGCCTGTGGTTACCCTACAGACAATTATCCACCAGAAACCGCCTTAGGGCACTTGGTATGAGGTCCAGAAGAGTCATCAAACGTTCTGCTCTGTCTGATCTCCATAAGAGACGACGTCTGGAGTTGTGTATGGCCCGTCGGCAGTGGAACCTGAGGACATGGAGGAGGGTCCACTGGTCAGATGAGAGCAGGTTCCTCCTCCACGTTACAGATGGTCGAATGAGAGTGTGGGGGCATAAAAACACTGTTTACGTGCCCAGGAATATCCACCCTACTGTTCCTTATGGTGGAGGATCGGTTATGATCTGGGGTTGTCTTTCACACGTCTGTAAACTTCAAATGGTGACTGTCCGAGGAAATCTTAATGGTCAGCAGTACATCCGGGATATTCTCCATCCACTTGTCGTGCCTCACTTTGACAACCACCCGTTGGCTACTCGCCCGATATTCATGGACGACAACGCCAGGCCACATCGTTCACGTGCTGTGACCGCACATCTCCAGAATGAGGCTATCATGACATTACCTTGGCCAGCAATGAGCCCCGATTTGAATCCTTTGGAGCACATCTGGGACTTTCTTGGAAGCCGTGTGAGGTTGAGAGAACCCCCTCTCCAGAATCTTGCACAGTTGGAAGCTGCTTTGCATTAAGAATGGCGGCAATTGCCTCTTGATCGTATCAGAAGGTTTACCAGTAGCATGAGGAGGAGGATTCAAGCTGTCATCCAAGCACGTGGGTAATACACCCGATACTGATGCCAGACCCATCAGATGTTAACATGTGACATTCCTTGTGCATCATTTCTTGTAATAGTCAGTCATTGACAATGCTACGACCATACTTGTTCAGTGACTATTTTCATCAAAAATCAATAGTGACCAAATCACATTGGTTACTGTATTAAAACAACACGAATTGGAATCATTGTCTTGTTGGTCATTTGCCAATAGATCGTATGTTTCACAATAGCTAAGGTTCCACTATCTTTGGAATAGTGAAAGAGTTACAGCAAGTTTTGTTTCTCATCATCGAGAAAATAGGGAGGGTGCTTAATTAAGTTCCAGGTGTATACATACAAAAGTACTTCGAAAGCATACGATAGAAACAAATATTCAGCCGAACAAGATCAAAACATCGTCTGCTTTCTGAATAAAAATTCAGCAAAAACAAATATGTTTACGTTGATTCTATGTTATGTCAAAATAGATACAGCAATAGACTGCTACATAATTTCCGTGTAAAATTTATTATCAGCTTTTGTCAACGATATCGCCACTGATCTTGATCCGGTAACGGAGGATGCATAAACATCGAACGCCGAAGAAAGTTTAGTGCCTTCTGTCCACATAAATAGGGAGGTGGGTTATCAATTTAAACAAAATGATATTTTGAAATTGGTACTGTTTCAAATTAAGCGGTAGTAAAACACAATTACAGAATCTGAAAACCGTTCTGTTTAGCCAAACATATTTGTTTCTAAAAGTATCTAATATCGTTGAAAGAGTTATTTAGCTTAGTCATGATCCCTCTTATCCATTACACTGCTTGAGCTTGCACGTAAATGTAAACGATGACTTCAGAGAAAAGGTCAAGGCCATGAGGTTGCTGCCATTATTCCTGTGGGGAAAGGGTCTACGGTGGAATTTTCAAATGTGAACCAAGCTTTTTAAACTTATTTGATATATGTTTTCCAACTTATCAGTTAATGATTGGTGATTGATGCATTAAAAAACAAAACGTGATTTGTTATTACTGAATCTGGAGTTTGTTAGTCATTGACGGTTTGCCACCAATCACCCCGTTTCGGGCGATGCCACTTGAGATTGGAATGCGAGGCCGCTTCACGCATTGACTCGTAACCAAAGAAAGAGCTCCACCTGAAATTGTTCATAAAATTGCTATGGTAGAATGGAGATAAACCTACTGTGTTGGAAAATCAGAGGTATATAACGAAATTATAATAGCTCTAAATTGTTCATTTAAAACCGAACGCGTAGTGTGAGGTTTAGAGCTATCGTAATTTCGTTATATACCTCTGATTTTCCCACACAGTAGGTTTATCTCCTAAATGTCACGAAAGATTAAATAATCGGCGTGTTTCAATATTTCTATGTTTTGGTGAATGTTGAGAAACAATTAATATTCAGGAGAGATTCATAACATTTGGTTTTGACAATAATACAAAGTTCATATTTTGGGTTATGTGTTAGTTTTAGGCACCCATGAAAGGCCACCAAACCCTCGACCTTTACTTCACCTAGACGGGTGGTAGAACTGGCCCTGGTTCTGTCAATCGGTCTGGTCATGTAAGCCCCCAGCGAAGTTAATATTTTTGCACATATAACTCACTCACTTGGTCTTGGTCATTTTGATTATCACTGTTCAAAATATGATCATATTACATTGCCTGGAGTCCTATGCCAGAAGGCGGTGGCTCATGGGCCAATCCGGTAACATTGACCTCCAAATTTGATACGTACTTATGTTCTTGTCATGGGGCAAAACCAGCCTGACATTGGAATTGGTGTACAGATATTACTATTTGTGTCTTGGTTGCTGGAGTATAACAATCCTGTATCCCTAGTGTTTGCATCTTGGAGATCCGTTGCATTCCAACACTGTCTCTTTTGACACTCCATGGTGGGTGGGGAGCAGGATTGTTGAATCACAATGATATTACCATGGCTCATATCCACTCTGGTTTAAACCGTAATGAAAAGAAAAGACGTCTGGAAGCTGAGAGTTTATCATCCGATGATGATGTTTCTGCTTCACAAAATTCAAATTCTTGGGCGCGGTTTCTAGTTGTTGAATCAAGGAATAACCTTCCTTTGAAACTAAATCCATTTGCTATCTGTAAAGCTATTGAAGGCATCTGTGGTGAGGTCAAGAATGTTTCAAGGCTCCGGGGCGGCACCCTTTTGGTTGAATGTTCCCGGAAACAACAAGCTATCAATCTTTTGAAGTGTTCTACTTTTGCTAACACTGAAGTACACTGAAT